GGCAATAAACTGTCAAAAAACATGTAATATTCAACTGAACGCATATGTAGCTTAAAATTTATTCTCCATAGATGGACATAAAATCTTAACAAACAAGATTAGTAAACATTGTTAATTTAAAAAGGGGGGGAATAAGGATCATCAAAAAAGTACAGAAACAAGTAGAATCAAAATGTAAAGATTATATTTTCAAGCCTAAAACTAGGGACTTTAAAAAAAGTAAACATATAAGGCTGGAAATAGTGTTTACATTATTTTCTCAAGCTGCAAATCCCTATTTTGACTCCATATCTACAGTACTTATCAGTGTAAATGGAGTCAAAATGTACACACTGTTTCCAGCCTTATTTCCAGTATTTAGAGTCTCTAGTTGTAGGCTTTAAAATATAATATTTACATTTTGATTCAACTTTTATTTGTACTTTTTTGATGATCCCTATTCCCACTTTATAAATTACAATTTTTACTAATTTTGTACTTTTAACTGGCAGTAAAAGGAACCACAGAGTAGTGGTGTGCTTATACTTATTAACCAACAATAAAAAGAACCACAGAGTAGAGTAGTGCTTTACTTGTACTTATTAACCAACAGTAAAATGAACCACAGAGTGCTGTAATAGTAGTGTTTCTACTTACTAACCTGTCTAAAAACAAATGAAAAAATTCGTCTTACATGAATTATGTAGTACATTGGTATATTTTATGGGTAATTTTTTCATGTCTTTGGATAACTATGAAATTTACCAAAAGTAAAAGAACCAATAGGAGAATGTTAATAATGACAGAAAGTATTATACCACATGTATGTTTAAAAAAGTTTTGTCATAACTGAAGAAAAGTTTTTGATAATTAAAGAAAGTTGTAGTTTGGAACATCTATATTATCTTGAGAAACAACCATAATAGTTGTTAATTTAGAACATCTATATTATCTTAAGAAACTACCATAATAGTTGTTAGTTTGGAACATCTATATTATCTTAAGAAACTACCATAATAGTTGTTAGTTTGGAACATCTATATTATCTTATGAATCCTGAGAAACTATCATAATAGTTGTTAGTTTGGAACATCTATATTATATTATGAATCATAAGAAACTACCATAATAGTTGTTAGTTTAAGAAATTACCATATTAGTTTGGAGAAACATGATTCTGTTGTCTGATGACAATCAAAATCCCGCCAGCTGCAGAAACTACAAATAATAATATCCAAACATTTTATTATACAACAACTTGATTGTTTTATTTGTTTGATTTATGCTGAAATTTATTTATGGCTTTTGGAGGAAAAGCTACAGAAATAATGTTCAATAAATGACATTCAGTAAGGACATCAAAGGAACCTGTACAGTTCAATGGTTGACCAGTTTGTAGAAGATAGCTATGCTTACCATGTGGAAAGTGTACTTCCATGGTGATGGTAGTATTGTTTACTTTCATAATGTTACCACAAGAAAACACTAGAAATATATTGATTTATTTTCTAAAATCATGAACTATTTGTTGTTTTTCAGGTTTAATGCACACTCATACAGAGTTTTATATAACACTGTCCATCATCTCAGTACACTGTTTTTCCTATTGTTGATTTTAGTACATATTCACTTCAAAAGGTTGTGTATTATATCTAAGCATATCTTTACTTATCATGAATTGTGTGGATATGAGTGCTTCTGTTTTCAAATTGCACTTTTTTTATTTATTGGTTTCTGTGAAGGAACGTTTAATTTTCATTGTATGGAAACTGAAAAAGTTTCTAGTGGTATGTTTTAGTACCATACATATATACGTTCTGTACACGGTTGAGCCTGTTCTGTGGTTTTAAGTAGCGACTGTGTGCCAAGTCAGGCAAGAGTTGACGCACTAGACCAGTTGGATGACACGACAAAACTGTGATCAGAAGCCGGTTTCAGGCTATAGTGAGTGATTCATACTTTTTACAACACTGCTTTCCGTAACGGTTGCTTGGCTTCGTCTTACCTGTGCATTCCTGTGGTGAACGTGACCATAGCCAGCTGGTATTATCCTATTATTATTATTAAACCCTTCAGTCTCCCCTAACTTCGTCAGATTTCAAGAAAATTAGAATGACGATACTTAATTTCGTGTTTCCTGATTTAATAACGTAATTTTTATATTAGGCGTATAAAGTTTAAATACGGGACATTATATTATGACCAACTACTTTTTACTGGCGAAGGCAAAGAACAACCGTCTTTAATCAACGTCAAATCAAAAGTTAAATATCCCCACGCCTCTTCGACGTCAAAACAATTTAAATAGTTCGAATTTGGAACCTATGAAGCTATATATATATCCACAAACGTTAATTTACTTTTAAAACGCAGATAATCATCCAATTGCATATACTACTATAACGTTACTTGTTCTTGTGTGTCGACAGATATTGAACATGTTTTTACTTCAAAGAAACAAAAAGTATAAGTTGTTACATTTTGGAGTCTTCGAGTGTGATGGCCAAGTGCAAGTTTTTTAGTTATGAGTATGGAACTAAGGAAGTAACTTGTACAGATTTAAAGTGTTTATTTATGTGTGTCCGTAGAAGACGACACACCCACGTGAATAGACTTGCTGGCCTCAGACTCAGAGACGGTCGTTTGACAGCATTTACACCGTGGGCAGTGAGTAGGCCGTCCGATGTGGCACCCCTACACGTAGTTGGTCGTATTGTTACGTTCTCTTTCCAGCCCTACACGTAGGTTGCGGTATTGTTACGTGCTCTGTACATCAAGTTTTTAATGGTTCATCTAACTGATTCGATCATGATTAAAAAGAGGACCAGGAGGGAGGTATTGCTGGTAAGATGTTCGTGTTTGATTATAGTTACTTATAAGTTATAGTCGTGAGTTGTTAGGGTTAACATTCTATGTAAGATTCTTCATACTGCTTTTAGCGGTGTGTGTATATATGTATGTGTGTGTGTGTGTTATTATTATTATTATATATTTATAGTAATAGAATTAACTTGTATCTATGTATACCCCCCTCCCTTCCCCAGTGGCATGTCTGCGGACTTACAACGCTAGAAACCGGGTGGTGGGCAGAACACAGATAGCCATTGTGAAGCTTTGTGCTTAACTTTATTATTTATACAAACAAAATCTACGAATTTAATTTAACTGACAGGATTTGAATGTTTGTGTAATGATTTTATTATTTATGTATATAAGTGTCAACAGAGGTTCTGATTTTTTATATTAATACCTAGTTTTTAATTTTAATAATTCTGCAATGACTATGGATGTTTGTGTAAACCATGTAAAGTTTGTGATATACCATGGCATTTTTGTGATAAATAATGTTAGTTCTGCAATAAACCATATTAGCTCTGATAAACCTTGTTCAGTCTTTAATAAAGCATATTAATTCTGTAATAAAGCATATTAATTCTGTAATAAACCATGGCAGTTTTGTAATAAACTGTGGTATTTCTATGATGTGTCACGGAAATTCTACATTAAATGGAGTTACTATTACATAATTCTAATAATAAACCATACTAATTCTATGATAAAACATAGTAATTCTGTGATGATCAATGGAATTTCTGCAATAAATTTTTTTAGTTCTGTACTAAAATATAGTAGTGCTGTGAACATTATTTTAGTTTGTCAATAAACTATCAAAGCTAGCAACAGCAGAATGATGGCAACAACAACAAATATTGGACATGTATGTGTATAGTAACAAACATTTAATTGTTGAACATTTCGGTATGTACATATTACATCTTCTGTAAGTTATATTGAAAAAGATAAAATATTAGGTACAAAATTTATAAAGTTCAATCATTTTGTAAAGAGTAACTAAAATACAAAGTAAAAGGATGAATTCAGTTAAAAAAATAATAAAGAATAGGAAAAGAGCAACAATTCTAAGAATATTATACAAGTTGATTAGAACAGACCTAATTGTAGTGAAGCTGTATTATTATTTAAAGTTGAGAGTTCTTTTATACACAGTCCCGGAATGCATAGGGTTGGTAATAAGTCTTTAGATTTTGAATAGATTTTGTATCTTGAAAGGTGATTTGAATAACATTTATAATTGAACTTGTGGATAAAATGTTTTAATTATTATTCAAATTTGTGACTTCACTATGAAACATTGCTTACCTACAAAAGGAACGATCAGTCATAATGGGTATTTGTGAACAATGTATGGTGTCTTTGGGGGTTCAATTTTGAGAGAAAGGAACTTGTGTGTTAGGACTTGAATTTAATGCAAGGGATAGCCATTGTTTATTAGAATAATCTGTGAGGTGGTTATTTCAGTATGAAGAGAGCTAGTCAGAACAAATGTAATATGTTCTATTATGTTAAAAAAAGTACAATTTCCAATCCTTTGTTACAAAGTTTTTATTTCACCCATCCAATGGACAGGTACTACAGCTAGTATTTTTATACATCATAACAGAGACTGTAATAGACTATGGTAGTTATAATATACCATGATAATACTTTTGTAAACCATGTTAGTTCTAATAGACCATGGTTGTATTTTGGTAAAGCATGGTAAGTTGACCATTGAAATACTTGAATAAAGCATGATAGTTTTAATAAGCCTGTAATACTTTATATAACATTAAATACCACTGTAATACTTTATATAACATTATATACCACTGTAATACTTCATCTATCATCATATACCACTGTAATACTTTATATTTCATTATATACCACTGTAATGCTTTATATATCACTATATACCATAGCATCTAATTTTATTTCTTAGACAGATCCTGGTTTTACATTTGTATACCACAATATCCATGATAGTATCCTGTCAGATTATGGTATACTATGACAACAGTCTGATAGACCACATTGTATACCATTGTAGTATTTTGTTAGACCATGGTGGACCAAAGTATGGATATGGTAAACTAATATTATATTTCTTTATTTTTATGAAAAATCAGAGATAAGTTTGACAGTTAAATGTAATAATAAGTTTGATATTCTCTGTTTGTTGATATACAAACAATATGATAATAAGTTTGATATTCTCTGTTTGTTGATATACAAACACTATTATAATAAGTTTGATATCCTCTGTTTGTTGATATACAAACACTATGATAATAAGTTTGATATCCTCTGTTTGTTGATATACAAACACCATGATAATAAGTTTGATATTCTCTGTTTGTTGATATACAAGAACCATGATAATAAGTTTGATATTCTCTGTTTGTTGATATACAAGAACCATGATAATAAGTTTGATATTTTCTGTTTGTTGATATACAAGAACCATGATAATAAGTTTGATATTTTCTGTTTGTTGATATACAAGAACCATGATAATAAGTTAGATATTCTCTGTTTATAAATATACAAGAACCATGATGATAAATTTGATATCCTCTGTTTGTTGATATACAAGAACCATGATGATAAATTTGATATCCCTTGTTTGTTGATATACAAGAACCATGATGATAAGTTTGATATTCTCTGTTTGTTGATATACAAGAACCATGATAATAAGTTTGATATTCTCTGTTTATAAATATACAAGAACCACGATGATAAATTTGATATTCTTTGTTTGTATATATACAAACACCATGATAATATGTTTGATATTCTGTCTTTGTAGATATGTAAAAACTATGACAATAAATAAGTTCGATATTCTGTTTGCAGATATACAGGGACTATGATGATAAGTTTGATATTATGTTTTTGTTGTTTATAAAAACACCAATTTCACACAAGTCCTAATTATGATCTGTAATTTCACTAAGGATTAAAATATTTAACATGTATTTTTTGTGCCCATGAGTTTAAGTTAAATTGAAAATGGCATATTCAGTATGATGTAATTAAAATCAACTTGCAAGGTGTTGGTTATTAGAAATCCGGAGGTTACCCATTGATTCAAAGACTCGTGTCTTATTTCTAACATTTGTATGCATAAGAAAACATGAGAAATGTGTTAAAGATACTAGGCAAAGTGGGTGGAACTTGTTTTTATCTTATAGCTTATTTTTAAAAAATTAAGCAAAACTGATCAAAATGAACTAATTTGTGAACATATTAAAACCTCCATTTTCAGGAATATAGTTTTGACAGTTATTTTGCAAAATTAAATTGTATTTTTCTTGTGAAAGTATTTTAGTTAAACCAATATTATCTAGTTCAATAAGATGTTGATTTACTTTTGCTTCTGTTCATTAGAGAATATGATGCTTTTACTGTATGCAACATTTTTCTTTAAAAAAATATGGTTCTTTTGTTTCTAGTTCATTAAGTTCCTTGTACCTTTATGTGTGGCTTGATAAGAGGAATTACTTAGATTTATTTGTAAGAAAATAATAAAGTTGTTCTTACTTTTGTCTGTAGTTAAGCACAATCTAAATTTCTGTTTCTGTTCAAACTAAAATAATCAAATTGTTTTTAATTAAGTAAGATTATGAGTTTTTTATGTTTGTATCAGTTTACAAAAAGTCTTTGCAGTAGGTTTTAATGTGTTTGGTAGTTGTTTAATATGAGTATCATATGATTGCCTCTGACCATGATATATTTTATTGAGAGTTACAGTGTTAACCTTTCACTTTTAGGCTCAGCAGAGAGCATCAGTATTGTGGTTGTTGTCAAAGGCTTACAACAATAAAATCCCACCAGATCTTAGGGAACCATACTACCGAGACCATGAGGTAAGGTTAAAGAACTTTTGTTTGAAATTTACTCAAAATTTAAATTATTTAGTAGATAGAAATGTTTTGATTGGCTGATGTGAATGTGAAAAAGCTTATAGTGGTTATTGAAAGTGATAAAAAATACATGCATTGTTAAATACTCATATCAATTTTATTACATACTTCTAGCAACAAATTATTAGGTAAAATAATTGTAAAATGGTGGTTTAAAGCAATAAGAAATTTGGTTAAGTTACTCAGTCGTTATATCAAACCTAAATATCTAGTTAGCTTAGTGTGTAACTTTATATCAAACCTAAATATCTAGTTAGCTTAGTGTGTAACTTTATATCAAACCTAAATATCTAGTTAGCTTAGTGTGTAACTTTATATCTAGTTAGCCTAATGTGTAACTTTATATCTAGTTAACTTAATGTGTAACCTTATATCAAAACTAAATATCTAGTTAGCTTAGTGTGTAACTTTATATCAAACCTAAATATCTAGTTAGCTTAGTGTGTAACTTTATATCAAACCTAAATATCTGTATTTAATCCATTCAGGTTTCAAATTCCTACAGATGTGCTCTGACAGAATTTAAACTGAAAGTATATCTGTGTCATTTTGATGAATTTCACCAGAATTTCCCACAGCCTGTCTTTACATCTGTCTTTTTTATCCCTGGTGAAGATTTAGTAACCCTGCCTTAATCTTTTGCCACTCTGTTAACTCAGGCATGTGAAAGTTTTTTTCTCTTACTTGTTGTTGCTGGTTCATGGATGAGTTGGTTACATGCCTCTCAATTTTAGGATTTTTTTTCCTCCACTCTTCTTCCCTTGCCTGATTTTCATATTCAAGCAGATTCTTTGCTGTTTTAATTTCATGCTCATTTTCTGTTGCCTTGTTTTCCCCGACCTAAAATCTCCTTCTCTGTTCAGAATTATTCTTCTTTCCAAGAGCTTCAATCTTTTATGTCTCATTTTCCAGCTTGCGGATATTCTTCTCCTTTCACTCTCTCTTGCCCCCAGTCTGCTTGTTTTTGTCTTTTGCTTCCTCAACCCGAACAGATTTACTGGAGAAAGTCACACAACGTATTCTCTATGCTGCCTTGATTTCTTATTCAGCAGTTGCCTAGTTAACTGGATTCCTTTGTTTCTGGGAATTTCTTGGTTGATAAGCCTTACATTCTGGAGTTAGCCTTCCTCAGTGTTGTCTCAGGGAACTCCCTTTGTTGCCTTTCCCTCAAGACAAGGCTTTTTGGGGAGTTCCTCATCCTATCCTTCTCCACATCCTCTGGCCTCTTCCTAATGTCCCTCTTCCTGAAAGGCCAGCCATTAAGAGTCTTATTTATGAGCCACCCCTCAGTTCTGGTCCAATGGGAGCTTGGATCTTACATTTTGCACAAATGTGGACTCACTTTGCAGAAAAGTTTTGGGTCATACAGGCTTTCTTTATTTTTAAAGCCCCATCTCTTTTCAATTTAACTCCTGAGGGCTTTATCATTCCTCTACCTGACCTCTAACCAAGGGCTGTGTATGGTTGTTGACATGTTCAATGTTACAGGTGTTTGGTGACCAGAGGAGAGTTCTACATACATATATATCTTGGAGATGTTGGCAGTTCAATGGGCCTCCCATTATCTTCTGTCATGTCATCTGGATGTTGTGTTGAGATCAATTTGTACAACTCCACTGTCATTTCTTAGATCAATTGACAGAGAGGTGATTGCTCTTGAAACCCTGATTTTTTTCTCTAGAGTTCTTGCTTTGGGCACATGGACACAATATCTAGTTGTTGACCTGCCATATCCTGGGAGCATTGAAATTAATGCCAGATCAACAGAATGATTCACATATCCTCTCTTGTTTCAATGGATTTTTGCCCAACTTGGGAATCCTATTATCGTTGCATTTATGATTTCTCTGAAAATAAGTTTACACTCTTTTTGTTACCAGTCTCAGACTCTGTAGTCCTAGCTGTGTAAACTTGGTCAGGATAGGTATAACATCTTTCTGTATGCCTTTTCTTCTCTTTAACTTCTTCCCATAGTGCAATTTTTAAATTACAGCACCTCTTGCCAGGTTTTTCTCATTGTCTCCATTAGCTAGCTCAGTCATAGTGTCTGCAACTTTGCTTCTTGGAAATCCAGGAGCTTCTACATCTTCCATTTTATGATAGCCACAGATATTCATCTTTCATTACAGTGTACCACATCTTCAACTTCACGTTTGACTTTTGTTCATTTCCTTGCAAAATGAGCAGGTTTTGCTCACAGAGTAGCCCATTTTCTTTCTAACTCTTTTAGGCCATTTACCCTTGTGATTTATTAGTGCAATGGATGATTTATATCAGTGCTCGTCCATCTGATACTCCTTTCCTCCAGGTAGTCCATCTGCTCGTCATCTCACTTCCTTTTTTGACTGGCTTTTTGAAAGCAGTCTATCTACTTTTACAGTTGTCAGATACAAAGTGGCTTTGTTGATTATCTTCCATCTTCTTTCTTGGCCATTCTCTTTTTTTTCTTTGGTTCTTATAGATCTCTTCATGGCTATTCTAATCAATTATACTCCTTGTCTAGTTCACCTTTCAGACAGAAACCTCACTTTAGTTCTGAGGACTCTCACAAGTCCTCTTTTTGAAACTTTGTCCACCTGTTTCCTGTATAATTATTCTCTTCAGATGTATTTTCTTTTTCTTTCTACTGGTTGGAGATGTCTGTCTGATATACTTGCCTTGAACAACTTCCACAGTTTTTCAAGAAGACGGGTTGGTTTTATTCCAGACTGCTCCTTCCTTCCCAAGATTTGGGCTGCCTATCAGGGTGATTGAATGTTTTCTCCAATCATCCTCCCTTCATGATCATTCAGGCTCTTATTGTTTCCTTTGTTCTGTGTGGGCAGTATGATATTACGTAGCTCAAATAACTCCATTTAGGGCAATCAAAATAGTCTTTCTCTCTCATGGGATCCCTTTACTTCTCACATTTTATCAAGTTAGCCAGTGAATCAAAACTTCTGCTCTTCCCTTAGTTACTCCATTTTCTCCTATTTGTTTGGTAGACTCAGCATTTGACTCCACTAAACAAAATACTGTTATATTTTACTACTGTGAATAAAAATTTTAAGTGAAGTTATTTTTGGGAATAGTCTCTAAGCAAATATGCTTTAACTTGCAAGACTGTCTGTCAGACAGTATGATCAGAAAGGTGATGTAGTACGTCTGTCAGACAGTCTCTTCAGAAAATGATATAGTACGTCTGTCAGACAGTATGTTCAGAAAGGTGATGTAGTACGTCTGTTAGACAGTCTCTTCAGAAAGTGATATATTACGTCTGTCAGACAGTATGTTCAGAAAGGTGATGAAGTACATCATATTCTAGTAGTAGAAAATTAATAATTTGATACATGTTAACTACCCTTTTTGTTTTAGTGTCAGGTAGTACATCATATTCTTGTGTGTAGAAAATAATACATTTGATACATATTAACTGCCCTTTTTGTTTTATTATGAGGTAGTACATCAAAAAATTCAAGTCTAATAATCTAAAAAAAATGACCATAACATAGAATTTGATGCAATAGTTTGACTCATTTAGTCTAAATTCCATAAACTGCATATTTAAGTGCTACTGGACATATATTAGTGTTGATTTGTTGAGGATTATAAACTTAATTGAATATAATTTTATTAAAAAAACATGTTTATCATGTTATATGTACCTTGGTGATGTACTCTGTTACCTTTCATGAGGATTTTTATTCACTGTAGCATTCATAAAGAAAGCTTAAAAACCTCTTGTTAGATAACAAAAATTGTTTTGTATTATTAGCTGAAATATTCATATTTGTCTTCTTTTTTTTGTCCAGGAAGAAGATCGGTTAAAACCACAAATTATCCAGGGTTTGGCTAGTGCAGAACTTTACTGTTTGGCTCTGGCCAACATATATGCTGACCCTAATTATCATAAGTTAGACCATCATGGGATTCAGCAAGCCTTGATGAGGAAGATGGTGTATCTGATGGAGCCACCTGACACACCACTCACTAAGACAGTCTTACTACAGACAGCACCACTCCGAATGGTTAGTGCCAGTCTAATAGGAATAATATACTCTCAAAATAACTTTTGTTTTGTATAAATCTAAACATGATTATTACAGTTATGAATATAACTTCCATAATCCTATTAGCCAAAATATTTTATAATCCATTGTCATAACACACATAAGTGTTTTCACAAAGTTTATTAATATAGTTGTTCAGTTAATGGTTACATTTACATGTAAAACTAAATCTTGTAAAAGGTGATATCATTAATTACTCTATGTTTCATTGTAAACATTCTTAACCATCAGATGAACTACATAATTTTCAGTCTGTGGATGTTTTAAGTTGCTATGCCATGTTAACAAACTGTTTTGTTCCTTGTTCACAGTGGCACTAGTATTGCTACCTTGGTGGTAGCGATTAAAAGTTAATTATTAATTTACTCAGCACTGGATTTTCATATTTTGTTTGTGTATACTTTAGTAAGCTGAATGATTCACAATTTACAGAAAAACAGCATAAACAAGTCTTTCTTTCTTTCCATAAAATATGTTTCTGTTGAAGGATTTGATCCTTCATATCCATCTTCCTTTTATTACTGCCAAAATTATGAAACTTGATTAGTATTGTTTTACTTTGGCTGGCATTTGTGAGATTTAACTCTCTCAACAGGGGGTCAGTCAATTTGATCGAGTCACGTGACCTTTTGAACTCGTTTAAAGTTGATATAAATTTAGTACTTATAACTCTCAGTATATTGGATGTATCTTCAGTCTTTCAGTTAATATTAGAAGTCTTTCATATACAAAAATTCATATTTCTTAGTGAAGTATTTTTAATAAAATAAAATAAAGATTTGTCCATGAATATATTGAGTATTTGTTTTGAAAAGTACGTGTGCAAAGTAATTTTCATTTTAAAATTAAAAATACTTTTCCTCATCTCAAAAATCTCAAATTTCCTTTGTGTAATTGCTAGAACCTCCTAAATGCATTTCAAACGTTTTTTTTTCCTTAAATCATTATAGTTTATCTGTTATTTTCTCTACCCTATTTCAAAATGGGACCAGTGAATTAGATTGACCTCATAACTACCAAAAAAAAAAAAAATCGAAATAAACCTAAATTAACCTTTTTTTTCTTAGAATGACTTCAAATTGTAACATAAAACTACATGCGTTTATCCTAAGTAGCTCTAAGTTTGTAACATTATACATCTATTTATAATAAAATTTTATTGTTTTATTGCACTTTGAACCGTGTCTAAATACTATCCATGCCATTATAAGTTGTAAATCACTCGGAGAACATGCAGCTCACGTTACACTATCGAATTACATTACCCATGAGCTGCTCGCATGCGTGCCTCGTGAACCATTTTAATCATATTATTATTATTATTATTACTTATTTTATCTAATCTAATCTTAAATAACTTAAAAAGATCCTTACTTTTAGTTTTAGTTACTTTTATAATAATAAATAAAGAATGAAT